ATATCCATCGGCCATCGTTGATGAATGCGCCCCCGCCAAGCAAAGGGAAAGGCGTATGAAACCCCAGAAGGTACAGGTGCTGCATTTGCACGTTCACTACGTGCGAAGCGCACTCCATGTGCCGCAACAACAAGGCGGTGCGCCTGTCGATCAAAATCCCGCTGTATTCGCATATCACTGCACGCCGGCTAAACGGGCGACACGTGTATATGCCTAAGCCTGAACCCCTACCCAATGATGAGCTTCCCACCAACAACCCCTGTGCTATACGCGCTAGAGAACCATCACGCACGCAACTCTTATCACCAACACTTCCCCCGCCTCCGTCCACATCTTTTGCGGAACCCCTGCATAGGCCCGTAGCACTGGGGTCCTTACTGGCAACCTTCCCCTGTACACCCTTCCCGTCTGCGCCCGTGTCCAAGCCCGCATCTGTGGAATTCCTCTTCACACCTTTGCCGTCTGCACCCTCCTGTGAACCTTTCTCTGCTCCCGCATGCGACGCACACGAAACAGCTGCCTTCTCAAATGGTACAGGGCAGCAAGGAACCGAATCGCCGAGCGTCGGTACGCAAGAGTCGGAGGCCCGTGCCGCTGACCTTCCTGGTGCTGCTGCCGCGCCGAGTGCTGTAGCTCCTGTATTGCCCGCTGCTGCCTTTAGAATGGGCCTTCCAGCTGAGCTATGCTGTCCTGCGGGAGACGCTGCCGCTGGTGTTGATTTGCTCATGCTGTTTCGGCAGCAGCTCGACTGCCCGCTAGATGCTGTTCCTTCTGCTGCTGCTGTCGCTGCTGTGGTTGTTGCTGCTGCTGCCGTCGTCGTTGATGCTGATCCAGCGGCTGGTACAACACTGCGGCTAGCTTCTACGCTCCACGACTTACGCTGAACCCTCGACGGCGGCGTTTGCTGTTCGTGCTTGTGCTGCCCCGTCAAAGTGGCTGCAGCGGCTGCTGTCGCCATGTCCCGTACAGCCGCTGCAGCACACATAGCTGCCGGGGAAGCTGCAACAGCAGGTTCCCCGGCAGCTGGAGTACCAGAGATGGTATTTCCAAAAGTAGGTTCGCTCTGCCTTCCCCTTTGTTTGCGAAGCAACACCTCTTGGGCTCGGGAGTGTGGGGAGGACTCAGGGGAGCAGCAATAGCAGCCCTTGACGCAACTGCTTGCAGTTGCCGGTTCTGTCACTTCGTTTCTGTCTGCAGTGATGCAGTAGGGGCAGAAGCAGTAAGATGAAGAGGAAGAAGAAGCCACACGACACTCAGGAATGCTGTCTTTCGCTGCCTGCTTTTCCAACTTGCCCTCCACCTGTGAGCCCACAACAGCACCAGCGTCTGCCGCTCTTGCTACTGGCGTGTGGACCAGGTGAGGCACATCTTTATTTGTTGCTCCTGTGCCTGCTCTTGCTGCAGCGATGTCGGTGGACCCCCTTTGCTGCCCCTGTCCTTCCTGCTGGGCAAATCCACTTCCCCATGGCGGGCATTGGGAAGCTACTGCAGGGGAAGCAAAACAATCAATACCTCTCTGCCTGCGGGAAAGAAGGCGGCGTCTTTTTGTCGGGGGAGGTGGCCAAGGCCTGGCATGCAGACAGAAAATCGAAGGCAGAAGAGGTAGCAGCAAAGGCGGCACCACCAGAGGCTCTCTTGATGCATTTGTGCTACCCCACCAGCTGCTGTCGTCGTCCGCATCTGCTGCTGCAGCAGCAGCTGCACGAGCCCGCCATCCAATGCATTCCTTCGCCTCGCTGTGCACACCAGCAGAACCCTCGCAACAACCGTCCTTTTGCTGCTGCTGCTCCCCTCCTTGTTGCTGCACCTCCTCTCGTGGCTGCTCCCTCGCAGCAGAGGCAGCACATACCGACCGCCTAAAACGGCGTTTGGGATGCCCCATGGCCATTTGTGTGGGAGAGTGTATGCGCACTTCTTGCTTGTCCTGACTGGGTCGGTGGGTGCTGCGCGAACCCACAATAGCTGGAGACCCCAACCGTCTCTTGAGGGAATTTTTATACAGTGAGGAGAGGCTGCGTTTAGCCGTGCTCCCGCCGTTGGCCTCCGCAGCCCAGGGCTGTTTCTCGGGCTTTTTCTTGAGCGTGTGAAGGCAAGTGCAACACAAAAAGCTGCCACCCACGGGAGAGAAAGCTGACAGACACAAGACGCAAGACGCACGCAGCGCCAAAGAACCCTCCCTGCTGCCCGCTGCTTGGGGGTTTTGATGCTTCTTCGCGCGAACCGCCGTCTCCTCAGCACTCCGCTTGGGGGCACTCACAGGCACTCCCCCAAAATGCCTAAACAGGGCGCTGTTCTTGTTGTCCTCGTTGTTGTTGTAGTTGCTGTAGCTGTTGTAGTTGCTGTAGCTGTTGTTGTTGCTGCTGCTGTTCTTGCCGTTGCTGTTATCGATTGTGCTGGCAGTGGTGCTGCAGGTTGTGTATGTTTCGATTGGATCGGCAGCACCTGCTGCTACTACTCCAGCTGTTGCCGTGGCAGCACTTTGGGGTTCGTCCCCCTTTGCACCTGGAAAGGGAGCTGCACCAACGTCCGAATCAGCACCTGCGGCAGAAGAAGTGGGACACTTTTTGACCTTTGCTTTCTGTCCCGTGGGGCCGGAGTCAGGCTGCTGTGAAGTGCTGGGGGTTCTGCTTGCTAGAGCAGGGGGGCTATGCAACCCCAATGCCAACACTCCGCCCACCAGCCGCTTCGGGTCAGCAGAGATCCAACGAGCGAGGATACTCTCAGGAGTGGCAGCGTGGGGAGGTCGGCGCCTGGGGTCTATGTCCGCCCCTTGTTTGTTTGCAGCTAGTTGCAACAACAGTTGCTCCTGCAGCAGTCGCAGCAACCGTCTGCGGGGAACCGAGAGGGATTTGACGGTTCCAAACTTCAGGGACTCTCGAGGATGTGTAGATGCACCGCTGTGCAACGGCGCCTTCGCAGGGAGAACCTTTGCCTCTTGTACAGCCGCTAGAGCCTCTTCTGCAGGCCGCTCGTGTTCGGCTTCTCTCAAGTAGCCCACCATCATACACAGGAAAACAGCCCTCTCACAGGCCTAAGTGCAGCCGCACACACCACAGTGGTGGGTTGACTACCGACAGACAGCAGCAGCAGAACCGCCGCCAGCCGCAACAGAAGCAACGGCTGCAATGCGAGGGACAGTCCTGAAGGTCGGAGCTAGGGCGCTGGGGCCCCGCCCCTATATCAAGGCGGTGCTGTCAGATGGTAGGAAATATATGTACTTCCGGGAGCCGCCTCGCCTATTTATCTGTGAAAGAATGTGACGGTCGACGGAAAACTAGCCAAACTATGGGTTCACTGAGGGGGGTAGGGCCCCACATGCCCCCTTGTTATCTCTTAAAGACCCAGAAAGAAGGGCAGAATGGAAGGGAGACAGTTTGTGTCTGGCTGGACTCCACGAAGGGAGTGAGATGCTCGGAAGTCTTGAGATGTAACAGGGCTGCAAGGTAGTGGAATGGGGCCCCGCAGCGCTGGAGGAGACGGAGAAGAATTTTCTACTAGCCCGTCGGCCATGAAATATACAATTTAAGTGAGGCTAGGCAACCAACAGTCGTAACCGCTTACCTGCCAGTTTACACACAGGCCCAGGCCCCACCGAACCAACACATGCCACAAGCCCCAACCTCCGACCACACAGCGGCAGACCAGTAACAACCAGCCCAGAACGGGAGTTGGGCGTCATCATTAGGGTGGCTCTAGGTATATTTCGATACTTTGAGGAATACAACATTTTAGTTTAACTATGGTTTCAAGCTTAACTCGTTGCGGCTTTATGTGGAAGCCGCCATGCTCAGCTTTCTTCGGAATTAAGCACGAGGGAGGCGGAGCTGTAACGCCGGTTCTCACTCGTATAGGAGGACGATTGTGAATTACAAAAGCTACTAAATACTTTAGATGATAATCCCACCAAATCAGCTGAACTTACTCCCCAGTCTCCAGGTTTCCGGAGTTCAGCGGGTCGAGTGCCTGGAGCTGCGAGAGAGGTAGGAAGCGCCTTGCCTTGAGTTGCAACGCACCCTGCCATAACTCTAGGTGCAAGGGAGGCCCACATGTACTCACGAAGTAGCCTTCTTGGCTATATGCACACGCAATGAAGACAAATGTTGGGAACTTACCCATGCGTACCGTTTGCCTATTAAGACGGCGTAAAGTATTAGTATGCCTTCTTCAGCCAAACTTGCCTAAATCAAGCAAGAGGACTCTACGCCTGTATTTGCGTCGTCGGACAAGCACCATACACCCTCGTGTATCATTGTCGGACCTGGATATGGCTGTGCTGAATTGTGATGCCCTTCTGTTCCCGAACAGCCCGTGCTCTTTGGCTGCTTCTGTACACCGCTCTCTCCTTGTCCGTGCAACATTGTATCCGGAAAGTAGTCAGGGCTCAGCTTGCCTAGGATGTTGAAGGCTTGTCATTGCAGGAGTTGCCAACACGACCGCTTCCGGATATGCAAAACAGGCCCACCGCCGGTTGCACTGGGTACCATCGCCCTCTGCGTGAACGATGCGAATAGCACCTGATCAGTCGGTGCGCTTTCAAGCTTTTCACTTGCTGATAGAGCGTTACCCCAACTGCTTTATCGCTGGCACTTGTTATTAGGGAGAAAGTTCCGTCGAGATGACGGAGATGTCGCGAGTACTGGAACCGCCGTCAGAGGTGGTTTCGTGCGGCTGTGTCCTCACTCTCTGACCAAGCGAGTTGTTCACGCTTTCAAAATAAATCCGTCTGAAGGGAGGCGATGCGTGCCAAACAGGATTGAATCTGTGGTAGATAGATCCGCGACCTTCAAACTTTTCAACGTCCGTGCAAGTGTACAAGTGTAGCGGCCACCTCTGAATTGCCTCTATCTTCACCGCTATTGTTCGACCCCTGCTGCCGAGATATGCAATCCTAAGAGGCTATTTATTTGCATAAAACAAACACTTTTGTGCTTTTACCAACCACTCTTCCTTGCTTGCCAGTTGCAGAGCACGTCGCCGGCACAGTAGGTGCACATTCTGGCTTTAGAGAAACGTTCCACTCATGCACACATCAATAATTCCCTCACTGATATTGTGCTCGTTAAATTGTGATTGGCATGTCTCTGCACCCGATTAGGTGCATTTACGAACTCAACGGGCATGCACGTGTACACCCACTTGCGAATGCGGCTATGAAACGGACTCCTATGGCCGTTGGCGGGGCGAATGAGAGGATCTGTGGCAAGGCACCAGCAACGTCAAATGGAGGAAACATAGCTGAACCCTGCACATGGGGAAGAAAACCTGCCACCAGTGGCAACGGAAGTTACTCTTCCAAGGTGAACATGTCGACGGGTTCGACCCGTCTCGCACGCATCAGCTGCCGTTCGCTTGCTTCCTCGCCAACACCGAATTGTCTCCGAAAGCAGCTGTTGACGGTGGGAGTTTGCCTTTTCTCAGCATTTCGTGTGCATGAGTTCCTCTCCAAGATTTGGGTTTTCCCCTGGAAGGCGCAGCTGGTAGAGCCGCACCAGGAACTAATTCGATGTGGTGCAATCCGCGCAAGGGACATCAGCCCATTGGCAGCAAGTGGCTACTTGATACGTCTCAGAACAGTGCCTTCTACTTTTTTCACTTCTGTTCCTCCTCTGGTCATAACTCGATCTAATCCCCGAAACCACCGACTTGGCTAGACAACCAAGGCGGAGTGTATGCATTTACCTTTCGCTTTACGCAGCGCCTCTGCTCTACGTAGGATTCCCTTCGCTCTTTTCTCCTTGGGAAACCGTAGGGGGTAAATATGCCAGTGGAAGAACTAAGAGGTCAAAGCGGTGCAGTCGGCATTCGCTTTCATGCACGTACACCGGGATGTCGTCGCCAGGCTCGCGCATGTGCGCCCTCCACTGCCATCTACGACATGTATAGGATTATGTCATGGTTAACCGGCACAACGCAAAAGCCCACCGCATGGTAAAATGACCCATAGGCACTTTACACCCATATACATGCTAATTCTAGTTTTTTTGAGCAATTCCGGTAATACACGGTTATGCAATTCGCCATGCTGGGGACGTGGCGTTCATTGCCCGCACCTTCCCTCGTGAAGCGCCTGGCCCAACCACGTGTAACAAAAGCCCCCCACCTTATCCGAGTTGCTTCATCAGCTTCCAAGAAGTCAAAATATTTAGGAGCTAGCCCAGAACAACTCTTCTCTCCTCTAGCCTCCAGGCTTCCCAAGCACAACCACCTACGACCCTGTTGACGAGAAAGAGAACGCCGCTCGTGTAACGTACCGCAGAGGTCGCAATGTGCCCTGCTGCCAATAACGCCCCAAGGCAACCAGGCAGGCCAGCAAGGAGAGGGCCACCTTGCCTGCGTGCACTAACGCTGCAGCTACTGTGGAAGAATTACTTGATCCTTAATCGACAGCATACACGCAGCTACTTGCGCTCAGTGCAACACCCCACATAAGATACTACAAGACGCCTGCATGGCTAGCCACTTCTGTGGAATCAGCAGCCCCAGTGTGGGACTTAGGCTGAAATCATCGGTCTGGGCCTCCTAATCAGGCGGTTTCAGCGAGTGCAGAGACTCATTGATCGCAACAGATGTCATCAGTTGTTGTGGCATGAACTAGTCGCTACGGGCTTGGCGAGCACAGGAGATGCAAAGCTAGCAGATTTGTGCTATATAGTCTGAGTACTCAACGTTTTGCAGACTCAAGCAGGGAGAACTGTGTATCGAGTGGAACATAAGATAGAGTGACAAAACAACGAACCAACCATATACGCTAAGGGCGAGTGGTCGGCCAGCCAGGCGTCCCGTCAGCTGAAATACGGACAAAATAGATTGTTCTTGTTAGGAATTTACAGCCGATGAAAACTCGTCGATGCACACTAAGGCCAAGTGCCCCAGTTTCCGTTGTAATGAAACTGCATGCAGGAACCATTACTCCAGTCCCACAGCCAGCTGAGGTTAGCTTGCAAGAGATATGTAGAGCATGTCCGTCAAAAGTCAGGTTTGGAATATTCACATGGTGGCGTTGAATATTATTAGTATTATAGTCGGTTTGTTAGCCGAGCTCTATTCGCCATTGCAGACAACCGACCCAGTGGCGGTCGGCCGAATAGTCACGGCACACCGCGAAATTTCGATCGCTACCTTCTTTCCTTCAAACTCAGATTTGACTCGGCATGATACTGCCAGTTACCATTGATTCTTCTTCTCCCTCGAGTGTATTCACTTAGTTTTCTGCTGACCGCCGTTCGTCTGCCGCATTGCTTCTACCTTGCAGTCCGTTGTCTTCTCTGCATCCTGTCCTCATCTTCCTGGAGGCGTGACGAGGGCGGCGGATTGATAGAAACCTTCTGGCGCCTGTGTTTTCTGGTGGCCATCCTTACTTCTTCCGCGCTACCGCCAGTCGGTCAGTTCCGGCCGTTACGTTCTTCGTCTTTACGCAGTTTTAACGCCCCCCCACATTTGCGTCTCTTGCAGGGGTAGCTGCGTGCTTAATCAACTAATTTCGCCTCAGGTGCCTTACAATAAGGGAGAAGATGACGTTTCTGCACGCGGCTTCCTGCGCGGCCTTTTGCTTTGGTCCGGTTGTGGCAATATACAAGGCAACAAACCTGTGGGTTCTTTGTTTAGTGCAGTATACAGCCGAACGAACAAACCAGCATTATGTTGTTTTTTGTTTTTAATGCCTTCCTCCTGGAGTCTGTTGCCGTCGTTCACTTTCTTGTGGCCTTGCCTGTGCGACACTCGTTTGCTGTACAGCTCCGACCAAACTGGCACGAGAAGGTTACTGGCACTAGCAACTGTCTTTTACTTCATTAATCTATTTGGAAAGGTGAATTGCGCGCGTTTTCCACATACTCTGGCAGATGCTGCCTCTACGTATATGCGGCTTCTGGTGTTTGCTCTTGCAAAAGTTTCAGGGCCGCAACCAGCCACCCAATAGCAGCACTCTGTGGCTCGTTTTTGTGTGGTTCCTTTCGTGTCTCAGAGCCTTATAGTTGCCACTCTGATTCCCGCCACGTGCGAGAGCTCCTTTTTCTGCAGCGTAAGGCCCCTCAATATGCTGCCCCTGTTCGAGTCTCCTCTACGTCGCTCCGCAGCGCTTTTGCTTCCCTTCTGTGAATTTGCGTATTGTAACCCTCTTTCCGGCAGTTCTTATCCGTGTGTGTCCCCCACACCTCCCCATGTGCGCGTTTGGCTTTGACTTTTCTTCATGTTCGTTTGTATTCTACTTGTTTTGATGTCGGTTTGTCTTTACCGCTCCGCTCAACTTGCCATTTCTTGCCTCATTACTGTAGGCATTTCAGGATTGCTCCTCCGTTTCCCCGCGTTTATATCTTAGTTTAGAAATGTTGTTCTTCTGTCAGTTGTAGGAGGACGTGTCTCTGCGTGTCTTTGCAGGCTATAGTTGACTTAGTTACGGTTGCTATGGAGCTCGGCAGCATCTATCTTCTTCTTTCCACGAAGTTCGCCGCCGCACTCACACCACAACCCCACAGCAGCACAGGCCCCAGCAGCAACAACAAAAGCGGCAGGAGTAGTAGCACAGTGAATAGCTTGCTTTCCCTTTTCTTTGTGCTGGTCTCAGGAGGGCGTTGGCGTATTCCTATGAGACGCGTTTGTTGTGCATTGGCCTTGGTTGGTCTTTGGGGAGGATCCTCTGCACCAACGCACACCTCCTACTTCGAGGTTTGGCTTCTCTGTTTTGGTTTTGCACGCCCCTTCGCAGTTGTCCAGGCATTTCTGTGCTGCTTTTCCTATTATTGTTCCGTTCCCGTGTGCATCAGATCGCTAGCAGGAGTGACATACATTTAGTAATAGTTATGCACCTCCGTGTGCGCCGGCCGGCGTGCAGGTGTCCCCAGCCTTGCATGCACGCCATGCACGTAACGCGTGTTGCTGTTTATTTCTTTTGCAGTCGTATCTAAGCCTCTTACATGAATGTTTGATGTAGCTGTCTATATATGTTTGGGGATGCAGCGGTTAACAGCCCTTCGTTTCGTTGGGAAGGCGTTTACCACGCCATGCAGGCCAGTTTCTTACCGGTTAGTTCCTGTTGTTCTAATGCATGTAGTACTACAGCACTACGTCTTTAACGGAAAATGCACATTGGTTTCGCGTTGCCATAGTTGTTAAATACAGTACGAACTGTTTCGCACAAGTCGGTTTGTTTGACACAACGAACCAACTTGAGTACAACAGAAAGTAACAGTGGAGAAGCACAGTGTATGGTTGGCTTGTGTTTGGCTGTTGTCTATGTTCGTCCAGTCCTACTTTGTGCGTTTTGAAACGTTGCAGTTTTTTCTGCAGCGATTGTACATGAATAGCAAAACTATACGCAGGTAGGCGTGAAGCTGTCATAGTTTTGCTGCATATTGCTTTGCCTATTTTCTGGTTTGTTTATTTCGCCTCAGTTGTCGTATTTGTCTATCACTGCCCTTATTTTCACTTCTTCTCGACGCCACTTGCCATCCAAAGCACGGGCAGGTTTGGTCTTCCTGGCTGCTCTGCTCGCACCCTGGACATTGGTTCAGCAGTACGTTATCGTTTCCCCCTAGAGACACTTTCTCACATTAATTTCGTTAGATATGGACTGTACTTGTTGAGCTTCGCAGCTGCTTGCAGAACAAGGGTCGCGGATTCTGACAGTGCATGACCAGGAGCAGAACGAACCCTTCCGGGCACTGAGCCACACATGAGCCGCCATTTCGTCTGTTGTAGACTCTCTACGAGTCGTTTCATTCCTCTGCAGTTACCTGCTATGTTTGCTTACGACTGTCCTGTTAGCGATTCGCCCCTTCGTTTAGCGTTGTGCGCTGTTGCGTTCTTGTTGCTGTCTTGCGTCCAGGCATAGCTTAGGTCTCTACAATTCGCCACAGCGCTTTCTTGAGGAAGAAGTAACCCCGGCGTGTTGGCTTTCTCTGGTTCTGCACGCGGCGGTCTCGATATTAGTAGGCATTGCGACTTACTTAACTCTGAGTGGCAGCCACGGGAAGCAGAGGTCGGCAGCAGCGATACAAAAGACGGAGTAAATGAACAATATAAATGAACAATGTACAGCACGAGTCCCTAGGCTTGTATCTCCCCGTGTGCCCCGGAAACGATCCCGACACTACTGAGGGCAAAGCCTGCAGAACCTCCGTGCTGTGTGTGCTGAACAAGCAATGGGGCAGACCACTTCTCTACGTTAATGTGCATTTGATAGTGCCTTGCCATTTGTTTTTCCAGTTTTTCTCCACTTTAATCTGATGTTTAGCAGTTCTTTATACTTGGCCTCCAATATCCGCAATACTTTTGCTTTTCTGGGACCATTAACTCTTTCACTCGTTAATTGTGCTTATGCTTAAGACTCGGCGTCCCGGGGAGCATAATCAAAGGTGTCTGGCAGTCGTAGCGTGTAGGAATCCTTGCATTTGCTACAGTTACACCTTTTAATATTAGAGTTGAGCTGGAACAGTGAAGTTCAGAATGTTTTTTGCAACTGCAGTACGATCCAGAGCGTTGGCTTGCACTGGAGGCCGCTGTCGAGAGACTACCGAATATCCTGTAGGAACTTTTGGGTTGCGTTCAGATCGTGTCTGTTGGATATCTGCATTCCAGACGAAAACGCAGTATGCTGCGAGAATACATTTCTATAACATTAAGTTACTGGATAAAACTGCGCCCCGGTAGCAATGTTGTTGGCTCTCTTCGTCGTCAAAACTTTTTGCTCCTCATTAAGCTTTAGAAGCTATTTGACCAAGCTTTTGTGGCATATTTCGTTAATGTCATGTCGAAGCTTGCGTGAAAATCAAGGTTCCCAGGGCACGCGGACTTTCGGGGGGCCTCGCGTCTGTGGCTGGGTGATGCACCGCTACAGCGATGCAGCCCTAGAAATCCACCCTTAAGAATTTTTTACAGAAAGCATGATAATTTAGCAATCAGCAAATTTAGATTATGCGCTCTTTGAAACCTATGGGTGTCTTGGAATCATGACGGGAAGGAAGGCGCTAGCGGTCAGCTGACTGAACCGGGGCATCTATGAGGATTCCACTTTTGGAAAATGTTAGGCAGCATTAGTATAATTATGCTATGTCGCCAAACAAAAATGGGTTTTACACTGTCTCCAAATGCCGCGTCCTTGTTACTCGTCTTCTTTTAGCAGCTGTTCAAGAAGGGTTCTGCGTATTAGGTAGCGGTCCATTGGACTCGGATGGTCCATCGAAGGGGCTAGCGTGGCTTGCTGATTGAGCATTGCTGTTGTGTGTGTATGCGCACGATTGGTAGTAGTTAACGCCAGAACTTAAAACTTCTTGATCTTTCTTAAGTTCCCGTGGATCTATTGGTTTGCTTTCCTTTTAGGTTTTCACCTTGACTTTGGCCTGCAGAGTCGCCTGTGTCTTTCTAACGAGTGGAGCAAATGGCGACACCAGTTCGTGTTCGCCTCGTACCACTCTTATGGTTTTTATTCGGCTTATTTGTAAATACATTGGTCTTATGTACTAGTTCGCGACTGCCTCATGGCGTCACTGTCCGCTTACCCTCCCTCACGCCGCCAGCTCAGTTAGACGGTCTAAAGCCTTTCGCCTCCGGTTCTTTCTTGTCTACGGCAGCTCGACCAAGAAGCGCCTCGCTCACCTTCGCCTCCCCGGAGGATTCTGGTGCCCCTTATGGGCTGCTGCCGACAGTGCGTCACCGTTCCCAGTCCCTTGGGTCGGGACGGCAGGCCCCGTCGGGCGTCTGGAGCCGAAACGGTGAAGCTCCGAACCTAGAACAGCCTCAACAACAGCAGCAAGCGCAAGAGGAACAAGCTCAACAACAGAAACGGCGACGTGGCCGGCTTCATCGTCTCCGGAAGGCTTTAAAACGCCTGGGAGGCACTGCGAAAGAAAAACTGAGGCGTCTGTGGCAAAGCATAAAGCGTGGTGCTTCTCGGGCAAAACGTGCAGCGCGCCAAGCAGCCATACACGTTTACAAGAAGCTGCCGAGGCTCCGAAAAACCCGAAAGGCACCTGAAGGAGCAGAAGTAATTGCCACATCAGGCCTAGCGGGAGCAGGCCTCGCCTCGGCGGCACCACACCTAGGTCCCGGTGAGGAAATTCCCGAAGAGGTTAAGACACTTGAAGAAGAGGAAGTTTCTACCCCTGTGAGCCCTGGTGCCTCCACGACGAGTACGGCAACGGAGGAAACAGCCGCACCTTCAACACCCGAAGAACCTTATCGGTCAGAGGAAGCGGAGGAATGGTTTGAAGCACGAACGCCTGAACAAGCCGAAGAGGAAAGCGAAGAGTGGCATGATGCAGTATCACCTGAGGAGATGGAACGTGTACTTGTTCGTGCGCGAGAGTCAGAACAGATGCGAAGGGAAGAGAAAGTGCAAGTTTCAGAGGAGACTGAAGAGCTTGGCCTGACTCCTCAGTGCCTGAAATACTATTCACGGATGACTATAGTGATGAAAAAACTGTGCAAAACCTGGCGTGGGCACTGCATGTTTTGGTCTTTGTTCATGAAAACTGGAAACTTTGGCACTTTTGTCGACGACATGCAAGATATGGCAGTCAAGACCGGGGCCTTGATATTGAGTGCAGAACTGCTCAGAGGAACAGAAGATAGCATCAAGGCCCACTTGCTGCGCATGCACCTTGTTCTGGCGCTAGCGGAAGAGTCCATAGCTAACGCGGTAGACAGGACAGAGGAATACTGCTGGTTCACTAACCCAGACAACCTATTCACCAAGGCAAACCCAGAAGAAGAGAAAGTCATGTTAAGTCTTACACCGCTGAATTTTTTTGCAGAGCCCCTTAAGTATTTGGGAAGTCTGAAAGGGCTTATCGACACCGCCTACGGAGATTCCACCATGTGCGTGGACTCCGTCGAAGCGGAGATTAAGGCGCGGATGGATTTGCGGCAGATTCTTGCGTCGGAAAAACAAAGGCTAGAGATTGCTATTCAAGAGCTGCCTGAGTCTGCGGCCACTGAGGATAGCAGCCTGGTGATGAAAGTAATACGGGAACTAGAATTGCTGGCCAAACGCGAGTACTGTTCCATAGAACAAGCTTATCTCCTTGCCACCCAAAGCAAAAACATCCAGGCATTTATCGACGACTACCGTGCCAACGGCGCGAGCTGGTGGAGGGCTCAGTGGCCCTTCAAACTGCAATCGTGTAGACCTCTTACGAAAGGAAACGCAGCTGTTCCTAAAGATGTTGCTCAGAACTGCCGGAACTATGAATCGTCGTCAGTCCCAAAAAGTCAACATGATGTTAGCGAAACCCTCCTCTGGATGTGGGATGCAGGGTCATGCAGAAAAGGTTGATCGAAAATAGCATTACTACTCGACATGCCCCAAGACAGCCTTAAACCCTATCCCAAAGAGGATGGGCGATTGGCAAATTGCACTTCTCGGGGGACTGTAGAGATGCCACATCGGGGAGACTCGAGAAGAGGCGCCGGTCCGAGACACCGCAGCTGCCCTTCCTTGAAACGGTGGGCACGAAGACTTTCTCATTTACTTGGTTGATTGTTCCATGCATGTGGCATCTTCGTGCAATCCCATGTAGTGCTGCCTATACATTGAATTTATTTACATATTTGCCTTGCTAATGCACCCTCTTATGCATCTTAAGCATGGTGTCTGTCCACATGAGTATGAATGCAAAATGCATTGGTTCTATTGTTTTAATTTCGGGTTCCTGTCCAGTCGGGCTCTGCGCTGCAGTCGCAACTGCACCCCAAGTGCATGACAGGCCGTCGTGCTCTGCTAATTTGTCTAGCATTGTTATATTATCGACAATAATTTATTATAAGTGTTAAATGGCTACTTTCCTATGTAGAATGGTTTCGAGAAAGCAACAGACGCCGCCAACTTGATTCCTCAGTACTGTGAATCCTACGGATTGAGGTGTGCACCAATTAGGCGTTTGCTACTCATACTTTTGCCCCAGAACGGTAGCCGACGCTAGTTAGTAGGTGTAGTCCCTTTTTCTACATGCGGATATTTGATTAACAGAGCTGAGACTGCTGAGACTAACCACATACACGACTGCTATTTTGCACGTACCCACTGTGAGGTGCTTAGCAGGAAACCCTACGAAAGAGGTGCGAAATTGTAAAAATCATTGAGGCCCCCTGCAGATCTCCACCAGATTGCGCAGTTCTGTGGAATTGAACAAAAAGTAAACAAAACACAACAGCACAATTTTTTCACTTCGTCTCATCAAAAGCAGCGGGATACAAATAGCAGGTTCGGTTCCCGTTGTTCCTTTTTTCCGCTAAAATCTGCCCTTTTCACGGCTTTCTCGGCGAGTCACTGCCGCAACTTGAATATCCTCAAGGGCTCCCCACTTCTACTAAAATTATGTGTAGCGCCTAATATTTTTCTCATGGCCAATGTGCTAGGTTCAAGTGGATCGTGTTAAGTACGTGCTACGAGTGGAAGCTGGTTCGTCTGTTGCAGGCGTACGGATTGGCGAAGACAGGGCCCTCCAGGTAGCAGAGCTCGCTGTGTGAGCTGTCGACATCATTACAATAATCGTGTACAATCTAGTTTTGCTTAGTTTTGCTCATTTCCCCAACATATCCCTAGCCCTTCTCTGTGCTGCATGACCGCCTTCCTGCACTAAGCTTGAAGGACTGGTACTACAGGAACAATAAGACGCCAGCAGGTCGTTTGATAATTGTGGGCTGGGTATTCGTAGCTCACGTAGCACCAAGGAGTCGTTCGCTCGAAATTTCCTCTGGAAACAATTTGTACAGGCATGGGGACGCCGCCGGTTTTAAGGTCTCCCGCTGTCGGGGGATTGCGGTGAAACGTGTGAGACGGTTTTCGTTATACGGATACTACAACAACGTCTACGACTACGTCGCACGGAGGTACCCTGACCCTGATACTCGTATGTGGCTCGGGGACAATTTGTCTTAAGGCATACAAATTGTCAGGAAATTCTACAGGCGACAACGTCTATTAATGTGTTCAGTGAAACTCTCTCCTGCTTGCGCTCGCCTCTTCACTGTCGCTTCTTTTCTCCGCGTTTGCAATTTATCTACCATCAATTCACAGACGAGACACATCGTCTCGTAAATATTTTGTAAATATGGTCCGTTGTTCATTATTCACATCCCCTTCTGTGCCGTGCTACCAGCGGCGTTCATGCGCCCCCAGATCTTTCCGTTGCGTTTCCCTTTGTTTCGGACGGAGTTTTCTCTTTGCCTCCTTTCGTCCGTCCTTGTGTGTATCTTTCTCTCTGATTCAGACTGTGCTTCCGCCCCTCTTGACACCCCGTGTCACCGCTTACCAGTATTGCCTCTCTTTGTTTCTTTGCCCCGGTCATGGTGTCACCGCCTACTCCGTTGGAGTGTGCCAGGCAGGTTTACAGGGGGAGACAGACTGTGCCTGTCTCCCCCTGTAAACCTGCCTTACTCTTTTGGAACTGCAGCTGCAGCCGCAGATATGTTCCACCAAGCCAAGACTAAACAGCAGCAGTCTGCTGGAAAGCATCACGTTGAAAATGTGCTCACTTTTCCTAGCACAGCAATATTTCCACGCACCTCCGGGCCCCTACTCCTCCGGCAAAGGCTAGCTTCGATGGTGAAAATACCCACGTGCAAGGACATGCACATTCATTATGTCCAAAAACATACAAATACATATATACAATCGGCGAAATTCATCTGCTCATGGCCATGCGCAGACTGCTTCGGTGCGTGTGCACTGTCCTACACTATTCCCATGCAGGGGGAAAACGCTGCATGATGGGCCAAAGGCCTATACAATACTGAATGAATATACGATTAATGCAGACACTCAACACTACTAAACATAATTTATTTGCTCGTTCGCTGTGCATGGATGCCCTGCTGCAGTCTCCAGTAGTCATTGTCGTAAGAGGTGAGGAGCTCAGTGCCCTTGGGTATGTCTTTAACAGCCACGACGACGACTCTTTGGGTGGCTCTGTGCTTATCGAACATAACCCGAAACCGAACGCAAATGCCGGGCCCCTCTCCCCCCCTAGTATTCCATCGGCCATCGTTGATGAATGCGCCCCCGCCAAGCAAAGGGAAAGGCGTATGAAACCCCAGAAGGTACAGGTGCTGCATTTGCACGTTCACTACGTGCGAGGCGCACTCCATGTGCCGCAACAACAAGGCGGTGCGCCTGTCGATCAAAATCCCGCTGTATTCGCATATCACTGCACGCCGGCTAAACGGGCGACACGTG